CTTGATGACCAGCGAACTGGAGGGTCCCTGTCGGTCCTAGACATGGCTAGCCCCCCCCACCCCCCAACCACCACCTTCGGCAGGTATCGCTGGCTCAGTCTCCCCTGACTGAGGCCTGTGTAGGACCTCGTGGATGTGCCTGTCGCGCCGGGGTCAGTTGTTTTCGGGCGTGCCCGGCCCAGGAAGAATCATTGGCCCGGACTGTCCCAAGACTGGTCAGACTAGACAGCAACTTTCTAGTCCTTGGCAGGGTGGAGCGCCCCTCCCGGAAGTTTTGCGCCAATGGTTGGCCCCCGGGAGTTCGGCAGCCCTCTATGGGATTGGTCTGGTGCTCAGGATGTCCCCAGTCAGGCGTGCCGGGAATTTACGTGGCCCCACCCGTACAAAGGCGCCCGACCCGCAGGCCACGTGGCGCCGGGGCTGGTCCTGGGCGGATGGTCCCCAGAGCCCTGGTGGCGGGTGGGCGCGGAATTGACGCCTCCAGGGCCGGGCGTCGGACATTTTTTCCCCATCAGCAGCTCGAGTGTTGGGCTGCTCGACGTTCTGGATCCGGGTTGGTTGCCACAATGACCCCACGGATACCATCTGCAATTCGACGCCGTGACGCACTTGTCGGGCGGGTCACGGTTTTACTTTGATCTGGCCGGCAAAAGCCTTTATCTTGGATCAGGAGCTCTCCGCCCTCCCCTGACACAGGGTGCCATCGACGGCGTTAGATCCGCAGCAGCAACCATGGGTTTATTACTTCCCTATATTTTTCGTGCCCCAGCAAAGCCGGGGGGTTTTCCGACCAATTTTGGATCTTGAGGGGCTTGAATCATTTCCTGAAGGTCATTTCCGTTACGCATGCTGACGACTGCCTGTTAAGTCTTCAGACTTGTGGGGCCGGCGGAAGGTTCAGTCCCCGCTCGCTCTCGCGCGCTGGGAAGCGTACTTTTCCACCCGCGCGGCCAGTTGCGCAGCCCACCGGCGGTTCTCCGGTTTCGGCAAACGGGGTTCCTGGCAGTTCAGGGGTTCTTCCCTTTGGCTCTCTCTCCTCCTCAGAGGGCGGTTTTAACTCGATGCGGTTGAAGGCGCTCTAGCTCCGCTGCAGGCAGAGGCTTGAAGGTGAAGCCGTAGGCCTGGACTCCCACCGGCGGTTCCGTGACAGCGCGTGGTGCTGTCCGTCAGCCGTCATCCTTAAACGGATTGTGGTCAACCAGGGGCGTATGCAGCAGGCGCGCAACTCTGGCTTTGCGTTTATCAGCCTGCTTTGTTTTTTGTAGGGAATGTTTTGGCGCATTTGTGGTGACCTGAATGACTGTTTGGCTGATGGGCGGGATATGTATTGTCGGCGTGCAAGTGTGCGCGAGGTGAGCTGTGTGAGAGCGCCGTGTGTGTTGTGTGTGTGTGTGTGTGTGGTGGGAGGCGGTGTGCGTGCAAGTGTGTTAGGGGTCTGTGCCTGCAGCGTTTATTATGATCCGCCTATTGTTTGTTTTCTACTTATTAGCGCGTCATACCTTTTATCGGACCCAACTGCCTCCTCAGCGGCTTTTAGGCAACAGGCAGCCGTCTAGTTTTAAATAGAAGAAGCCCCGGTCGGTGCTTTGCATGAGCTGCTGTTGCCTTATGATCAATGCAAAGCACGGGCAAATTGCTAGCATGAGGACGTCGGCGATGGTCATGAGGCCAAAAAACAATCTTGATCTCTCGCCAATTGGAAAAAGGGTGTGGAAAGCGGACAAGAAAAAAGAATCCACCATATCCAGTGTGTGAGGATATTTCTTCATAAGTGCAAGCTTGACTCTGTGTGAGTGTGAGTTGTGAGTGTGTGTGTGTGTGTGTGGGAAGCGGCGGCGGTAGCGGACGAGAGCGCCTCGCAGGTAGAGGGATAGAGCCGAGACGAGAACAAAGGAGCCGAGGTGTATGTAAAGTTAAGTGTTGTATAACCCATTACGCGGAAAACATAGATGCTAGATTTTCCGATCAAGAACCAATTATATCCATTAATACATGAAAAACACTTACACACGTTTGTTAATAATCATTGTCATTAACAAATATTTCTAAACAAGGACTACCGCATATATCAATACAAGTTTAACAATGTTATAATATAATTTCATTGTATTTTCAATGGACCAAACGGACCCAGACACGCATGTCCGACGGACCGGAACACATAGGATTGTGTCTATTTTCGTCCGTTCCCGCGTCCCTCGATGCACCCCCTGTTGACGGAATTACGTACGACGTGCGTTTGGCTCGAGACGCAGCGGAGGCAGAGGAGCCACTTCATTCACCCTCATGGAGATCCGGAGGACATGATGAAACGGAACCATGTTGGTGGACGGATCCGTTGTCCGTTTTTTCCGCGCCCACGGTGGCGTCGGGGCCTTATCTGGACGATTGGATGCTGATTCCTGATCAGCGCCCCCGACCAGGCACGGTCCTTGGAATATACGGTGCGCTTTGACTCATGTCGCCCGTGGGGTTTCAGGGTCAATTTCGAAAAGAGCAGCCTGGTGCCTTCTCATGGCGCTCTGTATTTCTTGGCTTGAGTTGAACACCCGGTGGACTATGCCGGCGCGTCCGTCGGGTGTGCGCCCGCTGGTCCGCATCCACGGTGTGGTATGTCCCGTTTTTTCGGTCTTGGCACCCTGCACAGTTAGTCAGCTTTCTTACAGTGGTTGGGAAGCTGGCCTCGCTCTCTCGTGTGGTTCCACTCGGGCTGCTTTCGCTTCGCCCGTGCAGAGCGTGGTCTGAAGGGATTTCGTGTTTGGATGCCGTTTGTCACGCCACAGACGGTTACAGGTGACTCGTGGGCTGTTTTCGTGCTTTGGCTCCATGGAGGGACCGGGGTTCCTGACACGTGGGGTTCCCCTTGGGTGGTGGGTAGTGTTGCCGCAGGGACGTGCGTCACCACCGACGCCACGCCGTACGGGATGGGGTGTGTGTAGGCAGCCGGTAGGCCCGAGGGGTATGGTCTCGGGCGGAGCGCACAGGACCACATAAATGTACTGGAGTTCGGTCCGTCCACCTTGCTCTCCGGGAAGTTATAGGCTCTCACTGAGGGGAAAAAAGTCAACATAAGCCGACATCCTGTAATTGCGCTGGGCGTGCTGGATATAAAAAATGCCAAGCGTAGAAAACAGTGAGAAAAATAAACCGCACATCTATGTAGCACCACAAAAAACCGTGTAATTAAATTTACATTACACCACAAAAAAGTAACGTTTTCGGGTGAGGCCTTCGTCAGACTTGAAAACTGACACACTGTAGATATTTTAAAGATCCATTCGTGACCAAAGGCCGTCACGGAATGGTGCATGTAAAACACACAGTACATGAATTAGTTACAATACACACGCAAAACGCAAAAAAATATTACATACAAAAAACATCCAGTCTATATCACACCGGTTTCAAACCCCTCATGATAGCACTTAAAAAGTGCGTTTGGGAGAAGATACAACTAGGAGATAATAAGTAGTGAAAGCTACCTAGTGCTTGGCCCCTAAGACAATGCAACTACTCACCACACGTTCACAGATACTAGCCAGATCCTACAAACCCCTAGCACGAGGTATTGTGACATGGGTGAACAGCATGATAAGTTGAACAAGCATTGGTCATCACACGCACTCACCAAATACAATCGGAAAAGAGTACACACTTGATCAATCCAGCATGTTTACTATCAAGATCGTATCAGAGTACTAAACACCCCCTCAACAATGCTCGATACATAACAATAATCCCACAATCCCCTATACAACCATAGCCACCCATAACAGAGACAAATTTATTCCCATCCCGCCCCTGACACATTTGCTAGATTGTTCTGAAAGATTGATCTCAGAACATCAAACTGGGAAAATTAAACACTACTCTAGGTTTTCCCCATTAATCCGACCCCACTGTCCTTATAACAGTACAGGATTCCGTTTAATGAATGCACGCATAACCTTTACTAAGCATCAATCCCTAAACATTTTTAATCCTAAAATTAAAAATCTATTCATAATAAATCCATCCCTATACCCCCATACCAACCCCATTTTTAAATACATACTCCCTATTTCCATCTCCCATCCTGTTTTATTCATATCCCCTCCATAAAAACTTAACTTATTACACATCTACCATCTATTCTTTCCCTCCCAACATCCCTCAAATTCAATTATTAATCCACCTTTATCCCATAAAAAAACACACCACTACCCATACCAACAACCCTTCCTTTATAAAAAACACCCTCACATCAAAATATCCCCATCAAACAATTACTAACTGCTCTCTCACAGCACTATAACCATTTCCATCACCCCCCACATCATCTCTCCTAATCCCACCCTAACAAAACAATAAAATACATCCCCTATATACCAAAACAATTTAATCATAATCACTAATCTACATATCATCCCAATCCTAAGTCATCCTCAATATGATTCCCTATCACATTTTCCTTAAAAAAACATTACATTCATTCGCCTCACAAACCATACTCACTCTAAAATACCCTATAAAAACTTACTCTCAAATCAAACTAAACACTTCCACAAACACAACCCCCATACCATTCCTACCCCCCAAAACCCATCATAAACCAAATATCCCAAACCCAATCCCACCAAATACAATCTCCTTTACATTCCAACAAACCTAACTCAACCCTGCGAACATACCATCTCCACCCATACACTACGCACATACCTTCTCACTATATTCATCCAACTTATCTTTATTCCCATATCCACCCCACATCTACTCTACTCCCCTCTATATCATCCCACATCTTTTCCACAATACTACAACAATAACCCCTCTCAATTCTCACCACCTCCACAACCCCCACCACCTCCTAACTCTTACCTAACCCAAAAACTAATACCCCAACATACAATATAATTATAACATAATTCTCTCCATCACCCCCCCACCATCCCCTCATCTTACCAATCTCTAATCCCCCCCACCACCACCCAATCCATACTACAATCCTCAATCCTCAACCCTCACCCCCCCATCCTCTCCCCTTCCCACCCACTACCACCAACAATCCACCCACCCATTCTAACCCCCCCCACCCCCCCCCCCAACCCCCCCCACCACAAAAAACACCCCCCAACCACAACCACCCACCCCCAACACCCACCCCCCAAACAAACACCCACAAACCCCACCAACACAAAAACCACCACCCACCCCCCCACCCCCCAACCCCACCCCCCAACAACCCAATACCAACCACAACACACAAACACCAACCCACCCCACCCCTCACAAACACCCCCCACCACCCCCACCCCCACCCAAAACAAAACCACCACTCTCACCCCCCACAAACAACACACCAAACCCATCACAACACAACACCAAACCACCCCCCCCCCCCAAACCCCACAACCCCACCCCCCCACAACCCCAACAAAAACCACCCCCCCCCCAACACCCACCAAACCACCAACACAAAAATCCCAACCACACACAAACACACCCAACTCCAAACACCTCACCACCCCACCACCCCCCCCCCAATCCCCACAAACCACCCCCCCCCCCAACACACCACCACCACACACACATCCCCCCTACACACCCCACACCAAACCAACCACCCACCCCCACCAACCCACCCACCACCCCCACCCCACCCCCCCCCCACACCCCCACCCCACCACCCACCACCCCACCCCACCACCCCCCACCCCCCCCCCACCCCCCCACACCACCCCCAACAACAACCACACCCAACACCCACCCCCCCCCCCACCTCACCCCCCCCCACCCCCCCCCCCACCCAACCCCAACACACCACCCCCCAACAACCCCCCCCAAAACCCCCCCCACACCACGGTTCTATGAATCCCGGATGACCGCCAGAGGGCGGTGCATAGCACTGAATGTCCCTTGGCGCATGCGCAGTTCGAGTAATAATACCAAATGAGTCACACCTGTGACCCCCTGGGTGACACACCGGAGGTAATAAAGTCCAGCGTCATCCAGCACTCTGTTCCTGCAGAATCTTCTCGCGGATGCAAGGACCCTGAGTGACAGAGCGCCTCTGGCGGTCATCCGGGATTCATAGAACCGTGGTTACATACGTAACCCTCGTTCTATTTCATCCCTTCAGACCGCCAGAGGGCGGTGCATAGCACTGAATGACCTTATACCAGCTATGTCACGAAGGAACTTGACCACACACCTCACGGAGGAGAGCCAGAGGATTCCTGAAGGACCACGCCAAGAGGAGCCGGAGTGGCCACATTGATGTTATAGAATCTGGTGAACGTGCTTGGTGTAGCCCAAGACGCAGCAGCACAAATAGTTCCCAACGGCACCCCGCGCATAGCGGCCCAGGAGGTAGAGACACCCCTGGTAGAATGGGCCCTCACCGTGGCTGGCGGGTCGCGGCCGGCCGAAATATACGCCTGACTGATAACGTCAACCACCCAGTGGGAAAGGCGTTGCTTCGAAAGCGGACTTCCCAGTCTAGCACCACCATAAGCAACAAAGAGCTGGTCTGAGCGCCTCACACCTGCCGTCGCAGCAACGTAGGCCTCCAATGCCCTCACAGGACACAGCAGGTGCAGTCTGTCCTCACCCCCATCCAGGGGGGACACAAACCGCGCCAACCTCAAAGGCCGGTTACAATAGTCACGGGAAAGCACCTTAGGGAGGAAAGTGGGATTAGGCCACAAGACCACGCCAGCCCTCTCAGGATCCCAGTGTAGGCATGAGGGACTGACAGAAAGTGCATGCAACTCACCGACCCTTTTTGCAGAGACCACAGCCAACAGGAAAGCAGTCTTATAGGAGAGCCACTTGAGGTCCGTTCGGGCCAATGGCTCATACGGAGGGCGGAAAGAGAGACACCAGGTTATGGCCCCCCACAGTACAGTTATCAACCAGGCCATGATAACATGAAATAGCAGCAACATATACCCTCAGAGTAGATGGGGCCCGACCTTCATCCAGGAGAGACTGAAGGAATTCCAGGACAACCGCCACCGGGCACGACACGGGATCCCGACCGCGGGAAGAACACCAGCGGGAGAACAACTTCCACCTGTTCTCATACAGCCGCCGAGTAGAGGCCGCCCTGGCATTCAGGAGTGTACGCCTGACAGGGCCAGTGACATCGAGTGCCCGCAGCTCGGGCCAGCCAACGGCCATACCCACAACTTGAGGCGGTGAGGACAGGGATGCCACACCTGACCGTCCAGCTGTGAGAGCAGATCCCGCCTGGGAGGGAGAGGCCAGGGGGGAGCCCAACAAAGTCTGAGTAGCAGTGGAAACCAGGGCCGTGCAGGCCAAAACGGAGCCACCAGTAATAAACTGTGCCCCGCCCGAAGGACCCTCTGGAGGGTTGGCCAGATCAGAGGAAAAGGGGGGAAGGCGTACAGGAGGGCCTGAGGCCAACTGTGCGCCAGGGCATCCTGGCCGAGAGAGCCCGGAGCCCCGTCCAGGGAAAAAAACTGAGGGCAATGAGTGGAGGCCACCGAAGCGAACAGGTCCACCTGTGCCCGACCAAAGAGGCCCCACACCCTCTGGACCACACCGGGGTGGAGACACCATTCCCCCGGGGCAGGCCTCCCGCGAGACAGGGAGTCCGCCACGCGATTGCAGTCCCCTGGCAGATACGCTGCACGCAGTGTAGCCAGGCGAGGCGCAGCCCAAACCAGCAGAGCCTGAGACACCTCGAGGAGCCGAGCCGATCGGACACCCCCTTGATGGTTGATGTGATACACGACCGAGGTGTTGTCCGAACGAATGAGGACATGTTTCCCCAGCAGGTGAGGCAAAAACTCCTGGAGAGCAAGGTGGACGGCCCGAAGCTCCAGTACATTTATGTGGTCTGAGCGCTCCGCCCGAGACCAAACCCCTCGGGCCAACCTGCGCTGCCACACAGCACCCCATCCCGTACGGCTGGCGTCGGTGGTGACCACTTCCCTGCGGCACACTACCACCCCCAAGGGGACCCCACGTGACAGGAGACCGCGGTCCCTCCATGGAGCCAAAGCACGAAAACATGCCCACGTCACCTGTAACCGTCTGTGGCGGTGACGAACGGCATCCAAACAAAACCCGTTCAGCCACCTCTGCAACGGGCGAAGCGAAAGCAGCCCGAGAGGAACCACACGAGAGATCGAGGCCAGCTTCCCCACCAGCTGTAGAAAGCTGACGTAACTGTGCAGAGTGCCAAGACCGAAACGGGACACCACACCGTGGATGTCGACCAGGCGGCGCCCCGACGGACGCGCCGTCATAGTCACCGTGTTCAGACTCAGGCCAAGAAAAACAGCGGCCTGCGAAGGTACCAGGCTGCTCTTTTCGAAATTGACCCTGAACCCCAAGCGGGCGACATGAGTCAGAAGGCGCTCCGTATCTTCCAAGGACCGTGCCCTGGACGGGGCGCAGATCAACCAATCGTCCAGATAAGGCAACACCTTCATGCCACTGGCCTGTAGCGGAGCAAGAGCCGCCTTCACGCATCGGGTGAAAACCCTCGGAGAGAGAGAGAGGCCAAAGGGAAGAACCCTGAACTGCCAGTGAACGCCCCGATAGGCGAACCGGAGGAACCGCCGGTGGGGCTGCGCAATGGGCACGTGAAAATACGCGTCCCTCAAATCTACGGACGTGAACCATTCCCCGGCCCCAACAGTCTGAAGGACTTCCGCAGTTGTCAGCATGCGAAATGGAATGACCTTCAGGAAATGATTCAAGCCCCTCAGATCCAGAATTGGTCGAAAACCCCCCGTCTTCTTGGGCACGAGAAAATAACGGGAGTAATAACCCCTGGGTTGCAGCAGCGGATCTACCGCCTCGATGGCACCCTTGGTCAGGAGGGCGGAGAGCTCCTGATCCAAGATAAAGGCTTTTGCCGGGTCCGAGAACAAAGTAACCTTGACCCGGCCCGACAAGTGCGGCCGGCGTCGGAATTGCAGACGGTATCCGTGGGTCAATGTGGCAACCACCCACGGATCCCGAGCTCGAGCAGCCCAACACTCGAGCTGCTGATGGGAAAAATGTCCGACGCTCGGCCCTGAGGCGTCAATTCCGTGCCCCCCGCCCCCTAGGGGCTCTGGGGGGACCCCGCCCAGGACCAGCCGCGGCGCCACTTGGCTGGCGGGTCGGGCGCCTATGTACGGGTGGGGCACGAAAATTCCCGGCAGGCCTGACCTGGGGAAAACGCTGAGCACCAGTCCAATCCCGAGGAGGCTGCCGAACACCGGGGGCCACCATCGGGCGCAAAAACTGCCGGGGAGGGCGCACCACCCTGCTAAGGCTAGAAAGTTGCTGTCTAGTCTGACCAGCATGGACAGTCCGGTCCAATGCTTCCTGGGCCGCCGTCCCAAACATCTGACCCGGCTCGACAGGCACGTCACGGAGGGTCCTACGACAGGCCTCAGTCAGGGGAGACTGAGCCAGCCATACCTGCCGACGAGCCTGTACAAGGACCGACATGACCCGTCCGAGTTCCCTGGTCATCAAGGCAAAAGCGTGCAGAGCTGCGTCGCTAAACGCAGTAACATCAGTGCCCACAGCACTACCCTCTTGGAGGGAGGCAGACAGGGCAAGCAGCAGATGCGCTAAGGAGTTACCAATACGGCCAGCTCGAGCACCAGAATTGTAGGCCTTTGTTAGCAAGTGATCCGTCGCACGACACTGGCTCCGAGGGCACCTCACATTCTCCCGCAAGGACTCCTCCGGGGAAACAATGAGGGAGGCAACCGCCGGCTCAACAGCCGGCATGCAATCCAGGCCAGCCGAAGAGGCATCGTGCATCGCGGCCAAAGCCCGACCCTCAGCCGAAAGCTTAGAGAGACTGCTGGGGTCCCTCCAGCACGCGTGTAGCTCCTTCAGATACTCCGCGTGGACGGGGGCACAACAAAAGCAGGAGACGAACCACCACGCCTGAAAAAAACACTGCCAGGGTCAGCCTGTCCCGACTGGGGAAGTTCCACCTGCAGACGGGATAAGGCCCTGCGAAGAACCTCCTGCATTGAGCCGTCACCAGACCGGCTGGACACACTATGTGCGGAAGAATAAGCATCGTCCCCCGAAAGGGACCGCGCGTCATCCTCGTCCCGGAAGCACGAAGCAGATGCCGCCAGAGAAAGCACATCCTCCTCCGGATGGAGGGATGGCATGGAGCAAGAACCAGCCCCAGAGACTGCATCAGCAGCACAACGTGCCTGGAATGCAGATTTCATCGCCTCCAACTCTGCAGATAATTGCTCCACCCTCGACACCAGGACAGCATCCGGCTTGGCCTGCTTGGAAGGACCATGGCCATCAGACCGCTCCCCTGAAGCACAGGCCTCAGCACGGCGCTTAGAACGCCGAGGGGGCGGAGCCACAGCAGGTCCCACTGGCAAACTACCACCGTCGCCAGACGAAGGCAGCTGAACCAGCCTCGCCACCCTAACAGCCCAGGGCAAGCAGCTGCAGTTCATGCACGGGTTATCGGACACTGCCTCCCTCAAGTGAGTGGGGCCGAGGCACGCCGGACACAGGTCATGGCCGTCATCAACATCGAGTGCTGACCCGCAGCCCACACACGCATGTGACCCGTCCATAACAACAAGGTTGTATTTCTTTTATTTTATTTTTTTTTTTTATTATTATTATTTTTTTTTTTTTAATTATTATTATTAAATTATTATTCTTGTTTCGACTGTGTCGTTAATTAAATATGTAATTAATCCCCAACGGTATACAAACTGCAAAACTGAATCAACGTATTGCAGTTTCACAACAGAAAAGCCAAATATAGCACGGTGGAGGAGCGGACGTGCGAACAGCAGCCTTCACACCACACAATGCACCCGCAGCAAAATGCCACTCGAATAAAGTAGTGATGGAGGAGAGGGCGCGCGAACAGCAGCCGTCACACCACACAATACACCGGCAGTAAAACGCCAACTCAAAATAAAGTAGCGATGGAGGAGAGGGCGCGCCAACAGCAGCCTTCACACCACACAATACACCGGCCACAGAATAAACACAGGCAGCAAATGCTAACCCAAACAAGAACTGATGGAGGAGCGGGACAACGAACCGCAGCCTTCACACCACAGAGGACACCGGTAATAAAAACTAACCCAAAGAAGAACTGATGGAGGAGCGGGCGCGCGAACAGCAGCCTTCACACCACAGAGGACACGGGTAGCAAAAACTAACCCAACTAAGAACGGATGGAGGAGCGGAACCGCAGCCTCACACCACACAGGTAGCAAAAGGCTAACCCAAATAAGAACCGATGGAGGAGCGGGCTAACGAACCGCAGCCTCACACCACTCAATACACAGTTAGCAAAGCTAACTCAAACATGCACAGGCGGAGGAGCAGGCCAACGAACCGCAGCCCTCACACCACGAAATGCACGTACCAAAAGAAAGTACTGACGGAGGAGCGGGCGCCACAGCAGCCTTCACACCAACCAATACACACGCATATAGTACAGAAAACACCGATAAATACCCGAAGGACAACGTCACCGTCGCGCCCCACGGAGGGCGAACCGCAGCTCCGATGAAGAGGGCTCTCAGCGACAGACGTTGACGAAGTTCAAGCAACAACGATTCGAACCGCACGCGAGAAGAAAAAAGGACAGAGTGCTGGATGACGCTGGACTTTATTACCTCCGGTGTGTCACCCAGGGGGTCACAGGTGTGACTCATTTGGTATTATTACTCGAACTGCGCATGCGCGAAGGGCACATTCAGTGCTATGCACCGCCCTCTGGCGGTCTGAAGGGATGAAATAGAACTGTAAATAAACAACAATGATGAACACTCTGGAGCAGAAGACTGCTGAGAAGACACTGATCTAAACTGACTCTTAAACTCAATAACTTTTCAAGGAAACTATTGATACCAAACTTCTTGAAACGTTAACATTTGAGTATTGCAACAAATAAGTTACCAGGGTAATATTTCATTATCTAACCTTTACTTTAAACCACTAAACTATTCTGGGTGTCTCTGCTTTTCAGACTGCTGCCCCAATGACCCAGCAATAGGTAAAGTGGAAGAACATTTCTCAAGCTACTAGTGAACATACTACAAAATAATCTGTGGACAGATGTGAATGCTTACTGAGTGCTGGTTGGAGATGGCACTTCCTGAAGAAACCCCGTACATGCCGCTGAGATGTGATGGGTGACTCTGCAAGACAACCGCACAGTGCACCTTAATGCTTTCCATCCGTGTTATTATCCTTTAGGATACTTGAGGTACAAATGTGTATAAATAATTATATGGTTTTGGTTGTCCAGAGATTGAAGTGTTCAAACCCAGGATGCAGATACATTCTGTCCTTCAGGATATGAGTGGGCACTTTGTAATACTCACTAAGTGACTCATCTTTGTTCAGTAATTCAACCAGGATTTCACACGGCTACAGCAGGAGTTGTATTGAGACATGTGAATGTAGAAGACGTACCATAAAAGGGTTGTAGCCTGCCGAGGGCACAGGGGGCACTGCCCCGCGAGGTCCGGCTCCAGCAGGCAGCATGGGTAGACCAGACAAGAGGCCCAGAGTGTTCAGGTTCATGCCTGGCATTAGGTGTGCATGTTGCTGAATAGAAGCACAAAGTGGTAGGAGTTAGTGTAACATCTACAGCACTTAGAGTATCTAGAGGTCCGAAATATTGTATTCTGAAATGACAATTGGCACAACATCCAAGCAGCCAATAAACGCTTCAACATCTTCACCAGGCTCTGGACGATATTGATGCTCAGACTCTGAAGTGAACAGACTCTTTATGGCTGAGGAGACAGAACTTATGATCACTAGCTTTAATACGTTTGCCTCAAAACATGTCCCTGCTGTGATAGTGGTTTTGAAGAGGGTTTATTAATATTATTTTTATATACATAGACTGTTCCTTAGTTAGGTTTGTAAACATTCTCAAAACAAATCCAATATTTGCTGATACAAACTTCAGATAATCGTGTTAAGGAAGTTCAGAATGAGCTCTGGTGACTCACAGGTTCACAGACTGATGCTCAAACAAATGTTGTAATGTGTACAGGCTTCCTATAGATGGCGCCACCTTCTAATTATAAGTATTCCAAACTAAAGGATGGGAAAACCCCTGGATTAGGTTGAATAACAATTGCAATTAAGATGAAATAAAAAACAAAAACAAACTAGAGACAACTGATTTTGACTCCATGAGAGAATAACACTTGCTCCTTGCAATAGGCTGCATCTGTCAGACTGAAACACGCTGTTGCAGAGCCCTCCCTTGCTCCCTCTTTGCTTGACCTCTTGGGCTGCAGAGCTGGTGATGTCATTGTGTGAAAGAGGAGCAGCCCTGAGATGCATTCTGGGAAACGCAGTGCATTTGCCACAGGGACACGAAGGAGAGCATCAATCAGGAGAAGGAGGGCACCTGAGTCACACGAGATTTGCAGGAGCTCAATGCATTCTCTATTTACTGTGTGTATTAGTAACAGCAGTAATTGGGGCTGCTGGTGAGTCTGTGTTTCCCCGCAGTATATCATGACGGCTCTCCAGTGTTCACCTGTCACGGCTCATGACTCAACCCGAGATCAGCACACGCAGAGGTGGAGCAGACACTTACATGGATAGCAGCAACGTCATTCTCGTAGGCCTCACGCAGCTTCTTCATGATCTCCTCCTCGGCTTTGCAGCATTGTTCCGGAAGGCCCCTCACCGTGATGGTCCGCTCCTGGCTGCAATAGGCCATTTCCAATAACCTACAAGACAAAAAACTCGATTAGACACTATAGAACGTTCATACTAATAACATACAGTATTAACCTCATGCTGAATGAATACTTGTGCAGGCCCAACTTTTTGGTCTTAAATTTTCTTGAAATAACAGAATCGTGTATCATTTTGCTTTCACTTCACAGTTGTCACTTGTGTGTTAACTGTCAGTAAAACATCTAAATAAAGCTGCATTAATACTTTTGCAAGGCACAGAATAAAGCAAAAAACACAGGAGATTTAGAAGACACTACTCCTTTTGGCATGCACATTGTAATTGTGATTTTTTGATACCTTGAACATGTAAAAAACTAATTTTGTTCAGACTTCAACTTCAAGAGATTCAAAATTGAAAAATAGTGTAGGCCTATGAAGCAAATACCTCATACACAATGCATACATTTCAGAACAAGTGTATAGAGTTCTAGCCTTTATAGTAAGTAAAACCATTTCTTCCCTTTTTTCTAAAGAGGAGAGCCAAAATGGACACTTTCCAACTGAAGGAAATGTAACACTTGCATGATTTTTTAGGAAAGGAAGACACATTGAGCAGCTAATTGAATCAATCTTAACCACAGAAATCCAGTCTTTCATATTCAATTTGCTTCCACACAACTTCCAATGATTTCCACCAACCATCCTGCTCCCCAGTGTTTTTAACCGTCTTAAACACCCTTAAGGATGGACATTGCAAATTAGCCTTAGCTATAAAGGTTTCATATGTTGATTGTGTCCACTTGTCCCAATCAAATAAATATTAATAACAACAATAATGAATACATATAATTGTTGTTGGATCTTCCTCTCTACCACATATGAATCATTGAATGTTTGAATCAAGTGATAAAGAATCTGTATCATAACTTTTAGTAATTCAACATGGCAGCCTAGTGGACTGTTTTGGTCTTCTCCTGCTTGGGTTGCATCAGGAGCTCAAACGTGGGAGACAAGCCTATGCAGGAGGGCCGCTGTGTCTCTTGTTAAATAGTCTGTAATCACTCGCGGCCTAATATCATGTTTTGCACTGATGAGGCTGTAATCAACTCCTGACACTGCTTTCCAACAACTCACTTAAGAAAAACAATGAGAGAAAAAGAACTGCAGGCCATTACGGTGATATGATTTCTGGACCGCTGCCACGCCCTGCACAATTATACTAACCAGCCCAACACCAGCTCTGGCCTCTATGGAAGCAACGTTGTACGAAAGGTATTTTATCATAATGTATATATATTTTATTCTTTCTGTTATTGGGTCAACTTAGTGCAACTACTGTATGAAAGGCCAGCGGTAGTGTTGGCAGGTTGCAATTTATCAACCCAACACATTGAACCAAGAAATCTCAATAAAATAGTTGTTAATTAGTGATAATTGAGTGCAATGGAAGTTGAAGGAGATTTTATCCAACATCTAAAACAAAGGAATAAAGAAGTTTGCAATGAACAGAATATATTTGCGTTTTTTTTTCATAGATCTCCCAAATAACTTATAGTATAATTCTAGCTCTCAATATTTATTTTTGGCCCCTGTCACATCCTTAGATCAGCTTTTTCAGTGAAAAAAGAGGACCAGCCCTGACTCAGCCAATCAGCTCTCAGTAAAAGATAATGGGTTTTAGAATAAGATGACAGTTGGAGATGTTGTGGACTGATTTGTTCAGAAAATGTAACTCAAACAAGACTCTTTCTATTAGGATAAATAACATGTATTTATGAAACAAAACACTTGATGTACTCCAGCTTTAAATGAACTTTTTTGACACTCACGAGGAGATGTTTATTCTGGTCCCTGTGTCTTCCTCGATCTTCTTCAGGTTGCGTCCGTCCTTCCCGATGAGACGTCCCACCAGGCAGTTGTGGGCCAGGATCTTCAGAGGGATGTCCTCCGTCCTGGGTACAGACACACACACATACGCACAAACACGCACACACACACACACACACACACACACACACACACACGCACAAACACACACACACACACACACACACACACACACACTCGGGTCACAGGAAGCAGCTGATGAGCGCTGGCGGAGAGCTGGAATGTGGACAGCTGTGTGGTGGCAAGTGCAGCAACTGTGCTGATTAGGCCTGTCCTGACCACACGTTTACACTGGGAGATTTTGTTACAGAAAACTCACTCTGATGGTGAGTGTAATATTGAAGACCACTTTATATATTGTAAAGCAGGACAGTAACGATACTGACTCATCATTCAAGAAGTATATAATGAAAGAATTAAGTATATTAAGTATAATAATAACAATAAATATACGTTTGTGTGTGCGTGTGTGTGTGTTGTTTCTGTTATAATACACAGTGGAAAGTGAAAGTTTACGCTAAAACAGTCTGAAAATAAACGTTGTAGAAGTGTACTCTTCTGAATACGAATAATTGAAAGAATGACCTCTTTCAATTCTGTAGCATTGAACCAATAGAAAACGTTGGTAATAACTGGAAGTAACTAACTATGTGTCTACTGTATATGTGTATTAAGTCAGTTATTTTATATTTAATCTGAAACAAGTTACATTGATTACTGGAACTACACTAATCACTCGATCATGTCTGGAATATCTATGATTTCAGAGAATACCTTAGAGTAAGAGGGTTCTCGGCTCGGACAAAACTTCAATCGCATCAAAATAACATCAGAAACAGGAACTTTACATTTTATACTGTGATCTCAACAACTATATGAACATTATGAAGCAATCACTGCATCAATAATGAAACAACAAAAATAACACTTCAATTATCAATCTATTATCATGTGGTGCCCTTGTCTGAATAATTATCTTTGACTAAAGCTCAGCACCAGAGCAAATAAGTCACACAGTAAAAATCACAAAGTATGATTCCAAACGGCTTGAATACATCCACGACCTAAATCATGGTAAAAGAAGGTTTCAAATAAGGCCGCACATCCCAGTAGCTAGTCCAGGAAAAAAAAATGAATGAAAAATGAAAAAAAGAAACAAAACAGTTTTATTATAAATCACTGTAAAGTCAACTGGTTTGGCCGCTCACATCCGCTTTCTCTCATGATAGAAGCAGAAAGAATGAAGGACGTTGTAAATATCCTTATTCTCCAACAATGCAGAGTGTGAGTAACCGCACAGCCCACACGTTTCACACTCTGACTCAGAAAATGTTGAATGGCGGATCGCAATAATCGAAGCTACAGATATACAGAACATGAATCTAAAGACTATCGGTAATTATAACAGCATGCTTCTGTGAAAAGACCAATGTTTGGATAATCTATAATATACATGTACAAACCATACCACATGTAACGTATAGAATTGCATTTTATATTGTTTAGACCATAGGGACCTTGAACCACAGCACATAATTATCCACACAGCAGCAGGCCAGATAATGAAGAACTGAAAAATGAAGCCAGGATCACAAAGGACTCCCTGTGATTTGCTCTCAGATCTGAGTAATAAAAAACTGATAATGTATGTAAATTGTAGATCATTTACATATTACGGACGTACGGTCTTTATGTTCTCTGTTTCAAGTTCAAACGAAAAGATTCAGCTTAAGATGCAACAATTCTCAGGGAAGAAGTGGGAAAAAAACACAGTCCAGGTTTCATCTTGCACCAATCAATTCACATTGACTTTTCCCAGACGTTTTTCACTGTCAGTCTCTATTGGCAACATGTTTAAAAGATCAAAATAGGGCTACAACCTGAGAAAACAATATAACTATAAAAATGGAGAATTTAGTATTTGTCGATTTCCTAGACTGTACTTCTAAAACTAGTGAGGTTTGGTTTTTATTTTCTAGTTTCACATTTAATTAAAAGCTGTATTCCACCACAAATAACATTTTTTTTTTGTTGAGAAATATGTAGCAGAAATTCACATTTAATCCTTTGTTCTCAAACTCCTGAAGCAAAACCGCCTTCTTCAAATGGGTTTTTGTTATTCCATATTAAATTAAAATGTAATCAATTTACTGTCTTAATAAAGGCTGAATCTAAAGCTCATGAGTTGGCGAGTGAAGAATTCTATATATGCCATCTTCCTCAACAAAACATAACCAAATATTTATCTATTTGCATCCACAAATTAAAAAATATTGTTACATTTTGCAATTCTACTTTCAATTTTGTTTTTAGTTATATCATGTACTCCAAAGTATTTCATTGTCAGTCAATCTGTGATATTATATACACTAGTTTGCACTGAGAGCCAGGGCCCAGTGAGCCCAGTGTGCCGTAGGATTTAAAATTACCAATATGTGACGTATTATGCGAGCAATAAATACAGAATTTAGTTTAAAAGCGTGAAAATGAAAAGAATGCAATACTGCTGTTTTTCCAAGCTACATATAATCTCTCAGTAATGCACGATAGAGTGGCACACATTCATACAAAATTAAAGTACAATTTAGGAATACCCTTCAATAATAATAATAAGCCCTTTTTCTCATATAGATGGCTACACGGAAATTCCTCTAATAGTTTTAGACCAGACTCAATATTATTATTTCTCAAAGTTGCTGATGCTAAATGCTGACGCTTAGCTCTGATGCGCCACTTGGTCGGACGGTTTAAAAGGTGCAGTGTCTTGTTAAAAGCGTCAAGCCTGATTAGAGTTACTGGCCTCATTTCTTAAGCTGTGATCACATGGCTGCTCTCTTCTATGGACTGGAGTATGGTTAAAAGACGAGGCCTGTGTGATTATGTAAAGATGAAGTGTTTGGAGTGTGATGGTGGCTCGGTAAGCACTCACGTCTTGGTCTCGCTGGCCTCCTTGTGCATGATTTCCAGGATCATCCGACAGGCAGCGGAGCAGCCCTCAGGAGTCGAGTGGATGGTGATGGGCTTCTCTGCCGCACCCGCGTTTTCCTTGCGATGAACGTCCACTCTGCAACGTGTTAGCGGTGAAATGTTAGAGTGCAACAAAAGCTGGTGATCTTTAAGTGCAGTCACGTTTAGTGTCATCTTTAATTTGCATTACTCTAAAAGGCTTTTTGGTCGATTCATGCTGCTTTATTTACTTTTAACTTCCACAGCCGAAAACATGTCATTCATGAATCATTTAATGCATCTTAGAATAATGCATATCTAAGAAAAATAAGCTAAGCAGGGCAGTGCTTTAACATGTTTGCACACTTCCTTCTTTTTGCACAATCTGAGTGAAACTATCTACGCCAAATGTGACTTGTCAATCTTTCCATAGTGAAATCAATCAAGTTTATCCAATCTTATCTTATCTCTGTGATGGGAGACCTCAGGGGAACTCAAGGGGCCACAGTGGAATAGCAGTAAAGTGGCAAACTGTTGGTGTGTCTTTAGGCAAGACATTTTTCTGTCAGTCAGCCCCAGGGCAGCTGCGGCTGAATAATGTAAAGCTTTGAGTGTCTAAAAAAGGGCTATAAAAACGGATGCATTATTAAGCTTTCTAAGTGTAATGTTACAGATCCAGGCTCCAGGGTTAGTTTACCGCCAGTAGAGTTGGTATATGACCCATGATCAAACTCATCGTTCTCCAGCAACAATGGCCCTGACCTCAGTATTTGAGACAGCACTTACACACCTCGGCACTCACATGTAAACTGGGGAAAAAAGCTAACGTTGACATAATGTTGGAAAAACGAGTGTATCTTTAATGTGAAATAAATTGAAAAAGCGTACAGGCTTTAAAAACCAGTGAAGAAAATGGCTTTATGTGTAAAAACAAAAAACGTTACAACATCACCATTCTTAGCTACTTCAGCAAGGCCGTTAAACTCATACTCAAGGCATTTTCACAATGTATGCTGTAAAATATATAATAGAGAAAAGTGCTGGCAGTGCGGTGCCGAGGGCTGGGAGCGTAAAGTGTTGTTTCTATGACAACATATCACTGTAGTGACTGCTGTCGGCGTGTGATTGATGAGCTTACAGCACATGCAGAGGATAAGCGCACGCACACATTACACACAGGTACACTTCTCTGATGTCATAATGTTTGTGAGATCGGTACAGAAACACACATAAACCTGATACAAGCGTGGCAACACATGTGACTCAAAACACTCTGCTGTGTGTGAAGTAAAAGGGCTTAATGCAATTCTTCAAGACTATTTTGTGAACTTTATGACATTGTTCCCACTCATAATTATTCAATGAGGCCAAAACTACAGGACCTCAGCTTCACAAAGAGTCCAACCACTTGTTGGAATCCGAAATTTTGGCACAAAGGCCAGAGCAACAAGCGATTAATACGTTTAAACTATTCATATTTCGATGGGCCATCAGCTATGTGACCGAATTAAAAGCTTAATAATAATAATAAAATAATATTAATAATAATTTACATGGACTTTTTACTCTTAATTTAACCAGGAAAATCCCATTGAGACTCTGTTCCAAGGGTGTCCTGGCCAAGAGACATTCACCACACAACCCTCAAATGTATTACTATTATCATTATTGTCAATATATATATTATTTCCTGATGATTGATTTCTATTTCATTGTTTTGCTTTACCGAAGTGATAACAGACTAATGTCCCTTTAAGAAAAATAGATCAAAGACCAGTCTACCTGTATCTTACCCTTAAGTAAGTAAGTAATCTTTATTTCTATATCGCCTTTCACAGACCAGAGTCACAAAGCGGTTTACAATGTGGGAATTGTCCTCTCACTCCACACAGAGATGGGAGTGAGGTCGCTAGTACAGGAGGCGCATGCCAGACCTATCGTACATGTTTTTAGTGGTAGGGAAACCAAAGTACCCGGAGGAAACCTACGCAAACACAGGGAGAACATGCAAACTCCACTCAGAAAGGCCCTGTTCCAACCAGGATTCGAACCCAGGAACTTCTTGCTGAGAAGCCCAATCAGATGTAGACTGACATACTGCATCTGATTGTGTTGTCGCGAAACCAGTGATGACATATGAACTTACTTTGACTGTGTCTCCTTGGTGACATTCTTGATAGTTTGACCTTCTTTGCCGATAATGGCCCCCACAAACTGAGTAGGCACAAGCATGCGCAGGGGGAAGTCCTGCGGTCTGGAGCGTGGACCTCCATAGCATCCTGAGGGGCCGGGTTGGGGGGTACCCTGGTCCCGGGACGGCCGACCCCCACGCCTGGAGCGAGAGGTCTGCATGGCCGGAGCAGCATCCATGTCCATGATGTAGGAAACCTTGAAGCAGTAGTCCTCACACTGGTGGTCTGACAACTTCTCAATGGCTCTGTGTGGACATCAACAAGAAATTAGTGAGTGTCCACAAAACAAGAGTTGATAATGTGAACCACCTAGAGCACAGGTGTCAAAGTCAAGGCCCAGGGGCCAGATCCGGCCCGCGAGACCATTTCCAGTGGTCCTTGAGATGGTTTTGAATTATAATATTAAATAGCAGCATAAATGGTAATAGGCAACAATGGCATGTTATCCATCACTAAGAAAACAACCATAGCATTTAATTCCATAAGAAATATAGAATTTTCCAATTTTCTTAGGAAAGAACTGCCCTCTCCACTTTTTGAACAAAACTCTCTGGTCTTATGTGACGAGCACAAATCACCAGAATGATTGAAAACTGGGAGGAGCAATAATCTTGATGATCCACTCAAAAGTATAAAATCTTCCTATATACCTTCACCATTTGGTCCAGTTTTGGTTCAGTCCACAGAAACTGAACTAATTCTAATCAGAAAAGAATGTCCAATCCAACTATTGTGAAACAAGGCATTTATTTAGATACCTTCATATTCCAAAAAAATTTAATAAATGAAACCCACTTATTTTTTTGGCCCCTGACCAGCTCTTTTTTTTTTTTATTCGGCCCTCAACCAAAATAAGTTTGACACCCCTGACCTAGAGGTATAATACAAATAAACACCCAACTGACCCATTTCTGCCCCCTTTGCAAAATAATATGTAATAATTTAAATAATCAACACATCATTATGTCATAATTATATATAGTCAACTGTGTAATCAAATATAATGCCACCAAAATAATGCTTTGGTTCCCTGTGATCACCACATTAGAATCATTTTAATCTAGGGTGCCATTTTTGTAGCCAACCTAAATTATTTTTCTGCATTTTAGTCATAATTTTTCCGGCGGTTTAATTTACAAAACTTTTTCACTCCTTCTGTGACAAATATTTCATTAAATTTATATAGCTAATGGTGTCAAACTTGTTTTATTCCATTTCTCCAAATTGCCTGTGCTTAAACTAGATTTGCCAAATAGGGCACATGTGTGTGGCAGGTTGCACAGAGGCTGTTATCATCTAGATAACAGCCAATTTATTTCCCTACTTCAGGTTGTTCTCCCTGAAGGAAACACATTTGTTAAACCAGATAAAGTCATTAGACTCTAAATACTGTTTTGTGGCCCCTGAGCTGACCTGTGACAGGGCGGCTCTGCTGAGAGGTACCTCTGGGTGCAGTGTGTTCTAAGGGGTTTAAGGGCTAAAATACAGAACAGACTTTACACTGGCACTAGTCTTATATCATATTAATGTACCATATTGTAATATATCACCATATCATTATATAACAGATTAGTTAGAGAAAGACTTATTTCCTTAACATGCTAAAGATAGAGATTTTATACTGCTTCTTTTTATGCTAACGATAGAGAGTATATTTTATTTTATTTTAGTATAGAGCAGGGGTGGGCAACTATTCTTTCCGGGGATTCGCATGAGAAAGAGAAAATGTCGTGGAGGGCCGTGTAAAAAATATGACCCCTACTATACATAATACTAGTTTGTAGATGTTTGAATAAAATAAAAAACATACACACACCATTCGCCCTCCACGGGAGGTTATCCCTCTCTAAGCTCGGGTCCTCTCGGGGAGGCAGGGTGTCCACACAGAACGGATCTCACTCCCAGAAAAACAATAGCAGACATTGAGGCTACAAGCTACAAGTATCTCGGTATACCACAGGCAAATGGCAACCTCGAACAGGTAACAAGTGAAGCGGCAACTGCCAAATACCTCCAGGCAAGAACAAGGCCCGGGCAATTAACAGCTACGCCCTGCCAGTGATCAGATACCCTGCAGGAATAATCAGGTAGCCAAAGGAAGAGATTCAGACTACGGATATTAAAACTCGAAAGCCCCTCACCATGCATGGCGGGTTCCATCCCAAATCCAGCACCCCGAGACTGTACGTAAGCCGTAAAGAAGGAGGCCGAGGACTAGTGAGTGTGAGAGCCACTGTCCAGGACGAAACATCCAAACTCCATAACTACATCATGGAGAAGGCCAAAACGGATGACGTACTCAGTGAATGTCTCAGGCAGTGGCGAGATGAGGATGTGCTGGAGGAGAGCCAGCCCAGAAATGTGCAGTGCTACAAACAGCAAAGATACTGCGCAGAATCCTCAGGCTCCCAGGCCTCTGGTAGAGGAGCTCAAAGAGGGATAACCGTGGAGGGCAAAAGGTAAGTTTTTTATTATAGCCTTGAATAGCATTGTTTTGACAAGATGGTTAAAGTGGGCTATATTATAATCAAACAGTAAAAAAGTGTTTATTTTTTTATTTTTTTACAAATATAATTTATTGTCTTTTATTAGTGAACATGCTCAGTGAATGTAACATGAGGAAACTACATTATTGTCTTTGTGCTTCAAACATTAACCAAGCAAGACATTATATTGAATTGTCACTGAAATCGCTGATGCGTCAAAGCGGCGCAGAAAAGGCCGGATAAAGTATACTTTTATGGAGAATGAGCCACGGGCCAGATTGTATCGCTTGGCGGGCCGGACCAAGGCCTGGTACAGAGTTATTTTTCATTTATCCTGTGCTGTGCGCTCCTCATTCCCCATTGTGGTTTGGGAGTTAGATACCGTGGCTTGAAGGCTCCACACATTTACACATGTCACTCACATGACTCCACTTACTCTTTCGCTTCCTCCTTTGTTGCGTATGTAACATTCACGACTGCTGTTTCTGTGTCAGTGTTCACTGTGAAAACAGGAAACATTGACATTACTGGTACGTACACATACACAGTACATCACATATAGGCTAAGTGCACGGGTCCTTGGGAAGCATTTGTCTACATGCATCCATTAGAGCCATCAGGGCCTGGCTCTGCTCCAGCGCTGCAGAGATCCCACACAAAACAGAACTTAAGATATAGCAGACATCGAAGACTGGGACGCACCTAGGTCCTGCTTAGATAAGATAAGATGTGCTTTATTTATCTCACAGAGGAGAAATTTACATGTCACATTTGGCATGGATAGAGACACTCAGATTGTGCAAAAGGAGGAAATGTGCAAACATGGTACATGCAGGATATGTGTACAATAAAAGTGACAGTAATTATGTACAACAAAAGTGACAATTTTAGGCACCGCATGTGGCTGGATGAAACCAATAATAACATCTTACTCATGATTTTATTAGTGCTCTCTCTCACAACGTTTCACAAATTTTCAGAAAAAACTAATCAAGACAGATGCTTTATTGATCCCCTGTAGGAGAAAGTCAAGAGTCATGTCCTGCTATAACATTTTGCAGCTCTATTAGTTGCTGTAGGTCATACTGAGAGAAAAGAGGCTGATCTGAGCGAGAATAAAGAAGAAGCTCTGAAAGCTGACAACACCAAAAGCTAAAAGGAAAGTCTAAAGCATATTGTCTATTTACTCGTAATACTTGTGCTCTCTTTACTGCCACAGCCTGTAACATACAACCAGACAATATAGAGCGCAACATGGTGACATTTTACTTCTTGGAGCGTGCCCTGTCAGCGGTTCTATATAAGTGTCGTTTCGCATTGGAGCCCATTGGTGTCGTTATAATGGGTCCATGGGGTTTGACGTGGTCTTTCTCTCTCCCAGTCATTATCACTCTCTGCTCTCAGTGCTGCAGCCAAGACCGGCTGAACCCCCGCTGCATCGCGACAGGTGCTAACGCGGACCATAGGAGACCATCTGACGGACAATAGCTTTGATACAGTGGGGCAGTGTTTTTGCAGAGGGATGTTCTTGTGTGGTATATACAGGGGAAGCCGGTCTTTGGTGGGGTAATTCTGTGACTGCTCAGACAGGGCGCTCTGCCAGACTCTGCCCCTCTCTCCACGCCAGCTGGGAACTCGCAACAGTTTTAGCCCCTCCGACACAGCTGTCCTGGCTTAATGTGTGTTTCAAGAATTTAAAGAAGACATATTGTGCTTTGTTCACTGTTGTTCTAATATAGTATAATGCTTTTCATTATGTAACATTTGTTATATTGTCAATGGTGATGTAGAAGTTAATAAGAATCAAAATGACCCAAATACTGGTGTTGGTTTGGTGTGATGGCATCGTGCTTCAGAAGGGATTTTTAACTCAATCTAAAGACGATATAAGTTAGAGACCGATGACTTTTTCAGTTCTTTTTCTTAAAAATTTGCCACTAAATGATAAAAGGGATCAAAAGGTTTTTTTACTCATTTCAAACTCATTCTAAACATAGTCATTAGGATGTATCAAGACAATTCTGGTTTTAAAAAAATGTTCTAGGCTTCCAGGATCCCACCAAAATCAAATACAGAATAACAGAAATGCGTGGGCAGTGTAATCACAATGTACACTGAAAACTTGATGAACACACAGATCAAGCTCAGATTCGTAGAGATGTTATGGCTGCAAATAGCTTCTTTATTACATCTGCTCAAAGCTCCCACTATTCGGACTCCTGACCGTCTCTACCTGTTCTTGTCATGTCCACTGATCCAGAACCTTTGGAACAATATTCAATCTGAGATGTGAGTAATGTTGATTTTAGACTGCGATGATAGACCATTTGGTTTAGCAGCAGGATGTCTGTGTCTATAATTGTAATGCAACAAATTACTTTTTATATGACTCCAAAATGATACATTTGATAAAACAATGGCAGAAGAATGAATGTTATATCCAAGCATCCAGAGTGTGTAATATGTTTCCTCTACACACCCCTTTGTAACAAATAAAAATAAAGTAACATTGTGGGGTGAAAAATAAATAAGATTTCTAGATTCCTAGCAGCAGATCACATCAGGAATTTCCACTTAAATCAATGGGTTTGATTTAAGGGGAAATCCATACAGAAATTATTTATTTATTATTATTTATGATTGTAATCCCTTGTGTGATTTTAATGTTTTACGGTTTTTAACTACTTGTGTGATTTTATATATCTTGTGCTCTTAATCTGTCTTTTTATGTTTACTTAAATTCTAATGTTTGATGATTTATGCATGATGTTATATGGGTTGTGAGGCGCTTTGCGTTGCCTTGTGTAGGAAAGGCGCTCTATAAATAAACGTTGATTGATTGATTGAAAAAGAACATTGGCCTTGTACTGGTGCTGGTACAGGAATCACTATTTTTTATTTATTTCTATTATTATTATTTGGCGCAGGAATCATTCTTCATAGAACTTCCAGTGTATGGAAAGATGAAACCTATTGGTACGGTTTAAAGTAAATAGTTCTTTATGTTATCTTTCTTTATGTCAGAAAAGCATCTAGGTCTAATATCATAGTGTAAATAAATTATTGTGATTTGATACCCTTTTATCCAGTTAACGCCTTGGTCATTTATATGGTAATCAGAGAATGGATTATTGTTAGATTGGTAGAACATTGGAATGGAGATTTGGCTATACTTTTCACACTTGGTTAAAGTTCTAAAGTAACCCTGGTTTTAGCTGTGTGCGGTGCTTAAAATACTTCATACAGTAGACGAAACAAAAGTTGTACCTTCTATTCCAACCTCTAAGTGTATCCCGCTTGTCTACTAACTTATACCATCACAAATACTTTATCAGAGCGAGCAAAAGCTTCACCACAGGCGCCTTCAAATTACCCCGGCACACCTCCCTAAAGACGACAAGGACTCCGAACGTACATGAGGAGGACACATGCTGAGACGCTACACTTGGATGCGTGCCCTGTCTACCCACTTCAGTTCATAATCCAAAACCAACGGCATAACTCAGCTCTTATTATAGAGGAGAATCCGGAGGCCGCTGTCCCCACTTCAACTTATAGCACACACATGATGGCAATGAGTGATTTATATGTCACAATGGATTATGTGTGGATAATGGTTGTGGGAAGATGAATGAATGAGTGGGGGGTCGGTGTGCACTGGCTGGGCTCAATGGGAAGTCTCCACAGAAAAGGCCCCAGAGATTGTATAAAAGGGATGGACAGAGTTAACCCGCGAGCTGAAGCCTAATGGGGACAAGTTCATGGGCAAAATCGTCCTCTATATTTGACAATCTACATAACCCCAAAGGTTTTATTTCTGTCATTGTCTTTGTAAATCCAAAAAGGCCAATTATAACTGGTGCCCTGTATCCTCAAGTTTGGCATCAGCTAGCAAATAGTGGAAATAGGAACAAGCTAGCCTCACTTCTGATTGGATCTTTGGTTGTTATGAAGTTTCTATGTGACTGTTCATATTGGACACGGTGGCACAGTGGTTAGCTTTAGTGGTTGCCGTAGTCGCTGTGCCAAAGCTATAAAGTGTACCTTAACCGTAAAAGTATATCAATCAATGAAATTGTATTTATAAAGCGTTTTTCATACAGAAGATACAGAATATAGGAGAAGTTTGTGTAAGCCCTCAGAATATAGGAGAATTTGCTAAAATGTCGGAAAGAACCTCTCCACTCTTTGAACAAAACTCTCTGGTAGTCTTGATGATCCACCCAGAAGTAGAAAATGAATTGAATAGAATTTTCCGCTAAAACATTACAGGTGACGCTCAGTTCATCCAATCCTATCATACCGTTTCTATGAGTCACGGAAGACGTACCTTGTTCTACATTTTCGACAGTACCATACTCCGCTAGAAGGCCATCCAAAACCTAAAACAGAAAAGCGTACAAGAAGTAAATTAACACACAGAATTAGATACTTGACCCAACTTAATTTCAACCGCTTTTGTCGCTCCAACTTTGTCTATTTCATGTAAGGCTGCTCTTTGTTGGAGGTATTAAAATGTAACCCTTTTGAACCTTCGAGTTTCCAGGATGCTTCGTGCTGAGATACAGCTCCAGTCTCGCACCACGGTTCAGGATGAGCAGTAGAGGATGTTGTCGTATAATGTGGGACAAGTCCAAACTTACAATCCCCTGGAGTGGGAGTGAATTGAAAAGGATTCCCAGAACAAACTGTTTAAAATATCATTAAGTCTTACACTGGAGCTTCTGTTTGTATGTGTAGGTGAACCTCCGTTTGAGTAGTTTTAGGAGGTGTCATTGTTTTTAAGATGTGTCTTATAGAAGCTTTGAATTATTAGTTTTTAGTTCAATTGTGGTAAGACAATTACAAACTTTCTGTTGAAAATGGTAGAACAATGCAGAGTGTTTTTTGCAATAAGTGCAAGATTCTTTCAGTCACAGTGGTATTTCATTTGGTGACACTCAACAATCTGTTATGGAGTACACTAGAATAGAGAATACACACACACAATTATGAATGATCTCACCTCCCACTGCAGATCAGGCGGGATGTTTCGGATCTGGATCTTCCGACTCCTGCGGAGACACAAACAGGAGCAGGTTAAAGGTAGAATCACAATACGAGCCGGGATTACAGGTGTTCTATGTAACCTTTATTATGATGTGTCGTTTGGCAGGTGGTCGCTATAGTGATAATGATGCACAATATCGATGGCATCAAACTTACCACTTTTTTTTACAGAACTCATGCTTTTGATGTCAAGTCATTAAAACATCAAAAAGTAAGGCTCAAGGTTCTTCAAATAAGGCAAAGAGTGCTCTTAAAAAAAAAAAAGAAGTCTACTTTCTAAATCTAAAAGTAATGCTGGTGATAATGTGTAATATTTAAATTAAGTTAATAACAACAATTCTCACAAACTCACTTTTTTTCATTTTTGATTGAATATCTTTGGCCCAAAACTATACCATATATATTACATGAGGTAGGTAAGTTGCTGAAGCACGTTGGTGCGTTTTTAAATAATCCAAACCATGTTCAAAAAAAGGTTTTCATCCTTTCCAATCGAAGTGCCTTGGAGGTTTTGTGTGCTTTATGTCCGCTGAAAAGAGTTTTATTTCCAGTAAAAATACATGTTTGCAGTGGCCTCCTGGGCATAGATAATAGTCTGCATTTCTATAAAAGATCTCCGGGTTAATACTCAATGAAATTTATATTCACAACAGAATTCATAAAAATAACCCACAAATAAATCAATCAAGTCCGTGCTGCCCACTCCTTCAACCGTAAATGTCTTCAGAAGTAACTAAAGCGCTTGAGCTGCATAAAAGTCTGAAAAATCAATCAACAAAAAAAAACAAATGAGTCTTTCATGGTCAACATTTAACAGTTAAAAAAAGGAAGAGAGCGCAGCCCTCTCACTGCTTTTATTGAGCAGCCAGAGCAAACAACAAAGCCACACAGACCACAAGCCGTTAACAACTACGTTAACATTTAGAGAGTCCTGCGAGACTGATCGAACTGAGCTACATCGCTGAGCCACCAGGTCCCACAAAACACTCAAGGAGATCTAAAGCTGGGGTACTTCATTTTATTTCCCCATAAATACTATATTTTGTTTGTCCCCTCAGAAAGAGTCTTGTAACAGAAACAGTTAGACCAAAACTATTGACCATTTACCAACAATTCAAAGACGCTAAATACAAATATCAAACGTTTTTACAATACAGAAAGGATAATAGAAGGGGCCGTGTACAAAGTCAGATTTATTTGTCCATTACCAGGTCATACTTATATACTGATTTGTATATTCATATTCATTCTTCAACTCGGCCTTTGATGAAGGAAGCGGCCTGACATCAACAGCAATGTCTCACCTTCAAAATATGATGATAAAAGGGGAGATACATTTGGAGAATTAAGGTGGACAGACGGAAATGATTACTGTACGGTCATAGCTCATAGTAATAACGTACATTAAAATGATTAAAATTATGGCCCAGACTGGTCCATCGTATGCCTCAAAGTGCCTCTGTTCTCTTCAATGTGCTGTCAAACCACTGTATATAGCGGTTTGTCTATTTCATGGTGTGTAGTTGTGACTTTGTTGATGAAAAAAACCACTAGACAAATATTGCAATAGAGTATTTTGTGATTCAGGCATGTTTGAGTGAAGTACATAGTTTCAATGGAAAGTTCTGAAATTAAATGACCACATGCAGACAGTGGAAACATGCACCACTTTCAAACAAAACCGACTCGTATTTTTTATCATTAATAGAAAAAACTCCTTGTGATTGACTTGCACCGCGGCCTAAACCATTCTGTCACCCTTCACATGCGTTTAAGAGTCTTGCTGAAAGATTTCTCCTGGCAACCTCTGTCCAAACACAAGCGAGTTAAAAAAATAAAACACTGCTACTGCTTATACACATCACCTTTTTCTATTCAAAATATATCCACCAACCGCCAACGTTTTAACAGCAACAAATACCTGGAAAGATAGATAGGCCACGTCTCAAAACCTCCAAAAATAACAGAGTCCAAGATCACGTTTTCCAGGATCACGTTTTCATTCGCAACCCGGTTAAATGTTATGTGAATTTTCAACTATCCTGTTTCCACAAACTGATTTCTCAACACCTAACCTTAGAGTGGTGTCTGGTCAAGTTCAAGCCAGCCATGCCCTCTTCTCTTACCTTTCAAAGTTAATGAACAGATCCAATGGCAATAGTCAAGTCTGGTTCTTTTCTCTCCTTCAAGTAGACTCCTTATTACTCGTATATTAAAGGGAATAGTGGTTCTGTCATGCAAAATATGCCCGAGTGCCTTGGAAGGACAAGTCTTGGAAAAAGTGACTTTTGGTTTTGGTGGTGGAAGGTCTCGTTTGCAGCATGCTTGTGGTCGCAGGCCGCTCTTCTGTCTGTCTGACTCTGTCGCAAGGAGAGGTTCAACATCTTTCACACTGAACGCTGTTGTGAGTGCGCTTCGTGAGAGTCCTCAGGCCAAACGGCAATGAAAAGATGTAGGGTTATTATATCTGATACAAGAGATACTCAAAACCTGTGCTCAGGACAAGAGGATTCAATTACACTTAAAGGGACCGCTCTGACAAGGCTTTTTATATAGTGAAGAGATCATTTAAATCATATTGAAGTAGATAAAAAATGTTTTGATTTGATTCAAATTAAAAAGGTATTTGTATTCTTGATATAATGAGGGCACTCACAAAGACATTCTGTAAATACAAAATAATAAGTCAGATACCATCAATATTCAATTATTAATAATCCTACAACTAAAGTGGTCAAAAATATAGAAAATCAGATATTGATCAATTCTAAAACTCATTTGGGGGGGAAATCACAGAAGTAGTTTTTGGATGATTTTGGTAGTCACATTGTGGTACTAAAAAGTTTCAAATCATACTACTCTCAAAAAGCTAGAGATTGTATTATAGTTATTTAGTTACAGTGATCTCCTTATTCCTGTTCTGTAACTAGTGACGCAAGCCTGAAATTTCTCCACTGTGGGACAAATAACGAATCTCCTAATCTTCTTCTTACGTCTCAATCCTTATTGTGTATCAAGAATGTGAATCTTCCCCAATCTTCCCCATATAAAAGGCCCTATAATGTCGTCACTCAAGGTATGGCCTGTGTCTCTCCATTTCTAGGAAAACAGGGCACGCATCAGTAAACATCTCCTGTTTGTTTGCGTTTTAGTTGAACCCGATGAACTCTGTCAACTTTCTCCTCCTTTTCCTCCGTGTTTATAAAAAAACCGTGTCCACAGAACATACAGTCTCGAGTCACTGGTTACTTCATGTTTGTCGGAGGTAACCCAACTGTCTGCCGCTGGTTTGGAGCGCTCTGCCAGGGGAAAAAAGAAAGCCTCTCAAATTCTGTCTTTAAATATCTGAGGGTGGCCATGTTCATTTGAAAAGCTAATATTTGCGACACCCACCTGCACGAGGTATAGAGGGTCCGCGGTGCATACTAATGTGAGGAGCTGAGGCGGGAAAAAGAGGGCATTCACACGGGGCCAGCAGACTGCAGTCCTTCTCAAGATGAGCACGTCAAAGCCAACAGTAATTCTCCATTCGGGATCTACATGTGCTGCAGATGGCTGTTACAGTGGAGGTTTTAATGAGACCCGACCAGGGGGGCTTGTATCAACAGAAAAGTCCCCATTGTTTAGTCCTAGTGCAGATATATAAGGAAATGTAAAAGCAGCTTTTAATGTTAGGTTGACGTTCAAATCAATCATCAATATCAATTTGAATCAACTCAAAAAAGTATTCTTGATATGGCCTTTCACATGCAGGCCATATCTGCATGTGAAAGCCAGATCCCAGCAGACCTCTGAAGCGAAGCAGGGCAGGGCCTGTCATGTGGTGAAATGAAAAAGGAACCAAAAAAGCAGGATCTAAAATAAAGTGTAATTTAAATCAGAGAAATCCAAGATACAAAAATCCAGAGCTGAAAACAAGCCAGGAACAAACGTGGTATAGACAATAGAGGGATAACAAATGCGGAAAAATATTAGGGCAGGACAAATGATAAAACCAAGTCAAAATAATCAAGTCCACACCATGACAAGGCCTGGTTAGTACTGTGATGGGAGACCTCTAGGAACAACCAGGAGCAACAATAGGGTGGCTGTGGTTGTAAAGTGCCAAATTGTCGTCGCGTCCCCAGTAATGCACATCCAGTCGTCCATACTCTGATGTCTTGGCTTGATTATGACCAGTCTTAAAGCTGGGGTATCTATGAACTATGTAATACAATGTAACTAGTTTCTTGCTCTCAAAACTGTATGGTTCAATCACTAGTTTTTCCACACGAAATATATTTTTGGCCTCTGTCACATCAGTAAAAAAGAAAGGATTGGCCCAAACTCTGCCAATATGAAAACAGAAATCTATTAAGATAAAGACAGCATGTTCTGATTAGTTCCCATAATGTTAATCAAGACTCTAAAATGTACTAATGAAACAAAAAGTCAAGTACTCCAGCTTTAAATGGATGTAAACGAAATTGGTGAAAAGGTCAGTTCAAAAAGCCATGACTGTTTTTTGAGACTACAGTACTACGGTTTTGCTGAATGACTGAACATGCAGTAAATCATGGAGAAAATTGTAGGATTCAGAGCAGGCCCCCCTCTGCTCGGCCACCAACATGCAATTCAACCAGGAATAACTTTCTACGCAGGACAGCAATTGCGGGTCAATGGACATAACATATAAACAAACAGACGAGTGACCACTGCGCCGTAATCAAGTCAAACAATGAAATACCAACACTTTTTTCATTTTTTATAATTCCATAATATCAAAAGACGTACAAAGTTTTGAGTGTTTTTTTCTGTATAAGTCAGGTTGTTCTTCCAACTTCCCTTGTGCATTCCTTGGTCTTTGTTAGTGTAGCCTTGACAACAAAATGGGCTTCAAATTCCGTCAAAACAGTTGATTAAAGGGCATGTGTTCTGTGGATTAAAAACAACCTTTAAAATACTATACTGGAACAAGGCAATGGCATAGTATTGGCTTATGTCTTGTCCACAATTGTAGACATTC